TTGAAAGACCACACTGACGCATCGGAAGCGAGGCAGTGTATGATTGGCGTTTTGGATGCAGTCACGCTTAGCTTGACGATGTGGACGATAAAGGGACGGTTGAGCGACGGCTGCCTCGTTCACTCGATATTTTATTTGCGGCCACAGGTACGTTTGTTGGGCGTGGGAGAAAAATACAGGTTCGAACGCGTCCGAACGCTCTTGAACGCGAACTGGACGCCGATGAACGTGAACGCGTGGTCCGGTTCGACGTTCGACCCTTCTGCTGAACCGGACCGAAGGTTCGGTTCAGCGTTCGGAAAATTTGGGGTTGAACTGGACCGAACCGGACCGCGGCAACACTAGTATATCGGGTCGTGTACGTCCCCTCCAATTCCCATCGTCCGCCTTTTCATCGACACCTATGCACAGCGAAAATGATATTCTAGCACACGTTCAAGCACCAACGCGCGCTTCAGCGAGGTGTGTTCATTTAACTGGTCATGGCGACGCAACGAGTACTCGCACACCGTGCCTGTATGTGATCGTGTTTTCCGTGAATGTTTCGTCTGTTCATGTAAAATTCGGCTAGTGGGAGACGGAGCAGCAGCGATGTCTATGTATCCCAGGGCCATGCCGCTCAACGCGGGTTTTCTCCATGACAATCAAGGCTTCGTCGCGCCAATGCCATGTACTGGATGTCTCTCTCCCGTCGGTGCGTTTGCTCCCCAATAAATTTTATTCTCAATCACTCATTCACGAATCGTCTTTCAACGCAAGCGCAACCTCCCGCGATGTTCAGCGGTGCGCGACGTTGGATTGACGCATCCCACCCGTACTGGATACTTGGTCGATCACATTCAGTTAAACCCGCAATATGATGAGTACTTATAATCAAGCTTTCGAACGACAAAGAATAGAACAGAGCATTCATTTAAGAAAATCAAGGTTCAACAAGGTTGTTCTATGCGCTATGTACTCGTACAAATGTTTGTTTTACTTCTCGTCTTCGCATCTAAGTAGGTAAGTGTGCGCGCTGTCTAATTGAAACGGGACTAGAAAACCGGACAGGCTCTAATGCGACTGGCCGCGGCGACGTCCACGTCTACAGATATGTACAGGAGACAGGTGCGTGCATGTGTTGTGTTGTGTTGCTCGGGCTGGGATGGACTGGAGCGCTCAGACCTCGAGCGAGAACTTGAGCCGCCCGCCGTCCATCTCGACGCGGACCTGCTCCATGTTCTCGACGATGTAGTGCGCGCCGCAGTTGGCGATGGCGTCGCGCGCGTGGGAGGTGCAGACGGCGATGACGGTGGCGCCGCTGGCGACGCCTGCGCGGATGCCCGAGGGCGAGTCCTCGAAGACGACGCAGCGGTCGGCGGGGAAGCCGAGGCACTTGGCGGCGAGGAGGAAGGGGTCGGGCGCGGGCTTGCCGGCCTTGAGGCGCTTGTCGTCGGCGGTGATGGTCACCGAGGGCGGCGTAATCCCGACGCGCGTCATGCAGCCGTGGGCTGAGAAGCGGAACAAAATCAGCACATTGAACGCGGAAGGAGATAAAGAAGGGACGCACCGTAGGTCTTCGCACCCGAAGTCGCGACGGCGTAGCGGCCAGTGGGGATCGAGTCCATGACGCGCTTGACGCCAGGGAGGATGCGTACGGCGCGGTCAACACTCTGCGCCTCGAGCTGCCACGCCTGGAACTGGTGCCGCGCGATCTTGTCCTCGCGCGTCTCGCCCAGGATCGACTCGTGCGACTCCTCCATGATGGGGTCCTCGAACACGACGCTGTCCCCGTCGGCCATGGCGACGTGCTCGGGGACGGCGCTCATGCTGAGGCGGCTGAAGAGGCGCGTGGCGAAAGACGGGCGGCGTGACTGCACCATCGACCCAGCGCGCGAACTGGCGGCGCTCCCGCCGGTGCTGAGCGCGGGCGTGGCGGACCCGGACGAGAAAGGCGAGTCGAGCGGGGAGTTGGAGAAGGAGTTGTGGCGCGAGTTCTGGCGGGAGCCGGGTCCATGCAGGTTGTAGGCGTCGGCGTAGTAGAGGATCGTCTCCTCGAAGTCGGTGACGGCGTCGTCCATCTCGTGCTCCTTGAGCGTCGGCTTGAACTGCGCGAGGTTGTCGACGGCACGCTTGCCGTGGGTCGCGGCGATAACGTATGCGGGGTCCTGGCCAATGTCGAGTGCAACCTTTCCCCAGGCGGCCTCAACGGCGGAGATGGAGTCGGTGAGCGTGCCGTCCTGTATACACAAGTCAGTCAGAATGGACGCTGATACAATTCACAGAAGACGACGTACCATGTCGAACAGGACTGCGTCGGCGTGGAAGGTCTGAGTAGTGGTAGACATTGTGGAATATGGTGAGTTGAGTGGGCGATGAGATGTGAGGTGAGTGGGTTGGTAATGGTCTGTCGAACAAAAAAAAACAGGGCACATAAATACTGTGCTCTGGAGATATGACGTCGTTCAACGGGGATTACAATCGCGAAAAACGTTCCAAGTTTCACCTCGGCGGCGATACATTTCCACTCCTGGAACAAGTTTTCCCAGCAGTTTTCAGCGCTCCAAAAACGCACTCCACAATCTTCCACAATGGGACTCCAACGGCGTTTGTCACCCTTCTCGTAACGTTTCCCACCGTTTTAACCTTTTGCAACCTCCGCAGACTTCCGTCTATCCCTTGAATTCCAGGAGCACCCGATTTTTCTGCTATGCAGTTCAACGTTCAAGCACGGCGCGCCCTCGTTGCGACCGATAACCCCGTATCGCTCCTGCTATGCCGTTCTATTCTTCCCTTCCTTGATCCTTGTCTACTCTTCCTTATGATTGTCGCGCTAGGGCCGGATAACGCTTATCGGGCACTCCACAAAAGCGTTGTCAAAATTAACGGCTCCGTTAGAACGCAACGACTCGGACGCCGATGCCGGCTCCACGAGATCCTCAATGCTGTACAGGATTTTTTAGGACTCCCATTTCTACTCCCCATTGACTCCCCATGCAATTTTATTCACCCGCTGACTCGTTGAGGAGATCGGAGACAAGTCTCCAGAGGCTCCTCTCGATCAAAGACTCATTGCGCAGAAAGATATTCCGCTCCATGGCGTATATTCGTCTTTCACGGCATTAGTCTATTCGTCGTCCGTGGAGCCTCGGGAACGGTGGTTTCTTTCTTCGCTGGTCGGTATGCCCTGGCATGCCTCGGGTGGGTAGAAATTCTAATCCCAATGACGTCCTCGTGCGAACGGAGCGAAACCCGCCTTTTTTCGCCGCTGGGAAGCGATCAATTCATCCATGCCATTTCTGGCGATATCGATGGCACGCAATTAGCATGTGTTTTTTGCCTTCCATTTCGGGATTCAACGCCAATAAAACCGGTGTTCGGGCCGTATGTTGTGTGAATCGATTGTCTCGAGGGGAAAACCTGCCGCCCCTTTGTTCGTTGCGAGAGTGGCAGTCCGACTCGGGCGGCCGCCCGTCGGGCACGCAGCCGCGTATCGCTGTGGAGTGATTCGCATGTTCTGATTCAGGTAACAAAGTAATTATAACGGGATGCGTGAACTTCGCGAAGAGGCGTTGTGCGGTGGAGTGAAGGTTCAATGGCTGGAGGGTGGAGCGGAAGTTCATTTCGAGGCAAAGGTGAGTATGTGCGTGCGAGTGAGTTCGGCGGGCATCGGGCGTAGTACACGCATCATTGTTCTCCAGGTTCTGCGTGGAAGCGGCAGTCGTAGCAGGTCGTAGCGTGGCGTAGCATGTTCCACAGAACAAAGATGTACGTATAGGAGGGTGCGTGTATACTCACCTTGACACCACAACGCCATAAGACCGTTGACAGATGCATGCGCCCACACGAGATGGGCGGGACTGATCTTTGCCCTTTCGTCCGGGTCGTTTAAACGCCGTTGGTGCACTAGAAAAAACCCGGTGAACGATGTTAAGGAGGACTGGGATGGCTTTGGCTGCCTTCATGAATGGATGAATTTACACCATCGTTCGAAAAACCAGTCAAGAGCAGCGCGTCGGCGATATAAGGGCAGGATGCCGATTGGGCCCGAAGCACTCGGCATGTTAGCCGCACTGATGGTTCGGATTGAAATATTGCGTAGTGCTGGCTACCGATGCTGTATACCGGATGCGGGCTGGAAAAATAACACAGGAAGCCAGGAGGAAATGCACTTAGTCTTGACACTCGCAGGAAGGGTTGAGGTCGTAAAAAATGCACCCAACTTTATCTTTATCAACGACTCGGCCTGAATCGAACATTGATCGAACAGGCACCTTCCACCGAAGGTTTTGGTTTTGGTCAGCAATACACATTGTAGGTGTGAGCCACTCGCCACCGCGTCGGTATCCGATTAAATGAGAGGGTCCGTATGTGGAGAGCGCGCATGTTTGTAATCAGAACCGTTTCGACATCGTAACACTGACACTGACCTTTCACTGACCACATTCGGTGATCGCTGACTGAACTTCGCATTTGACCAACCTCGAAGAAAGGACGAAAGGCCCTTCGGATGGTAGAATCTAATCTGCTGCAACCGAGCGAAGATGATCATGGCCAAAAAAAAAAAAAAAAACGGTGCCTGCAGCAGAATTGGAACGCGGGGAGTCGAACCCCGAAGTGCTGTCACAGCACCATAGTGCAGATGGAGAATACGCTCTGGCTGTGTTTCATCCACCACGTCCGATTTTTGTTGAACCAGGTCAGTGCGGGTATGCGATCCAGGAAATTTGAGAAATCTTCAGATGAATAGATATCAGACGGCGACTTGAGGGGAGCCCTCACCGTGGAGAATACGCGGCTTGCGATGGGCGTAAAAAATGAGCGGATGTCAGGAATTCCAGGTAATCAGAATAAACAGCGTCAGACCGCGTCCGAGTTTTCTACTAGTCCTATGGGATGTTGATTAGTTCCCTGGCACCCAGACTTAGCAGATCGTCGAGGCACGTAGAGCTCCTGGCATGCAATCGCCACTGGCGTCGTTTGCGGAGTACTAGAAAAAGAACGACCGGGCGTGGTTAGAATTCAGACGCGGGGAGTCGAACCCCGATCGTCCAGCTACAAGCTTCTGTGAAAGTAAAGATATTGGGGCTGGATGTGTTCCGTCCACCACGTCCGAATATGTGTTCGGTTGGTCTCTGAAGCAAGTTACCTATTAATTGGCTATGCAAGTTCGTAGGTCAACTGAGGCTTAAAATGGGGAACGACTATCAGGGAAAAAGATTTTCGTGCTTACTGGGTTACAGTCGACTTTGTAACTGGCAATCGGCGACCTTCCACCACCACGGATTCCACTTGCTGGAAGGCAAAAATTCCAGATTAAGAGACTCATTATGTTTGGCCCTAGCATTCGGGTCATCATTTGCGTGCGGACCTGGGGAGGGAATTACATCCTCAGCTCCAGAACAAAAGGAAAAGAGGGAAACGCAGACCAAGCACAAAAACTGACATATCGGGGACGGGCATAGCATACGCCCAATGTGCTCTAGGTCGGCACACGGAGTCGGGAGATGGACTGTTCAGTGCCACCCAACTGGCTGATCCGTCGTACATCGTCAAAGGCTCATTTTGCCTTCTGAAACCACCCTCCAGCAAGTAAAGAGCATGCAATCTGCGCTCGATCATTCGGAATTTGAGTTGTAAACATTGGCCCTACTTCTTGAGTGCACGCCAAATGAATCAAAGCGGTGGCATCAGACGGAATTCGAGACCAAGAATCAATATATTGTCGTCCTAACGGGCAAATACGCCAGATAGTGGGGATAACTAGCTGACGGGACGCCTCCAATTTTAAACAGGCACCTGGCGACAAGTCAGTACCATAAATATTTAGAGAAGTACGAACTTGCGCAGGGATAGGAAAAGTACGAACATTGAGCATCATAACTCCAACGCGATCCTGCGCTTCTCCAACAGGACCTCCCACCCCTCCAGCCCACAATTCGCTGGAAGTTTGTTCCAGACGGCGTCCCGAACTTGGCGATACAGAGCCTCTGCTTCTGCAGAGCAATCCCTGCAGACACCGTAGTACAACGACCCGAATAGGTACTGCTGGTCATACAGGGGTGTTAGTACCATATCGGTAATGTGGTGCCTCTTCATGAACTTGAGTTTTGCCAGGTTACACAAATCGGGAGTTGCACAACTGGAAATGGGGGTCATTGCGTCGGCTATCAGGTGGCTAGCTTGGATTTGACGGGCCTGCGCCCTTATGCAAGCTTGGTTCATCCCGGCGGGGAATTGGTCCCAGCCTCCCCCAGGTGAAAAGAGGTCGATTGCAGGGGTTCCCGCGAGATTGTAATAGGCGTATGGAAGGAGCCAGGTAGCCCCGACCTCGTGCAATACCGGAATCGCCTCCAGGTCGAGGTACATATCGTCATCTTCGTACTCAACATGGGCGTCCTCGTTGAACGACCCGACCTCATTGAGCCGGACATGGTAGACCGTTTCGAAGTGGCGAAGGGCGCGTTTATGGAGATAGCCCACGTCGTACTTGTGAGAGAGTCGCAGAATCCCCAACACTTCACGGAAGCCGATCATAGACGGTGGCGGCATAAAATAGCTGGCAAGCTATCAGAATGCTTGGAATAACGAAGGAGAGCTGTCAGTTAGACTGACCTGGAGTCGAATATTGCACGCAAAAAAGGCTCTACCTCCGTCGAGGCATCTTGAAGGCGAATAGCCGGGCTGCCATCGACTATTTCTTCCCCGTCGGATGGAGCGGGCTGAGGAAATTCAAACATCGCCTGGAACACTGAAGAGCGTGCGGCGAGGATCGATTTTGGGACGCGGAAAATGCTCTCCCCCGCGAGTAGAGCAACCAGATGATCGTTGGAGAACCATAAGCCTTCTACTTGGTTCGGCATACAGGGCGTCGCGGGCCTATAAGCACAGGTAAGGCTTTGGAGCTGGTGGAGGTGGAGGTTGTGAGAGAGGCGCGTTTGATGGAATCATCAAGGAGACCATCACTTGTCACGCCACACGTGGCTTATTTCCCACCACCACCTAGACTCGTCTCTTCCGTGCGTCATCCTGGCTTCATCTTGGCTTCATCCTTCTCGAACGCTGCATGATTTCTGCAGGTCCAAGATGTTCAACCACCCGAATCTGCCCACTGGTTATTAACGCTGTTTCTTGACTCAATCTCGCGAGAGTTCTCGCCGGTACGTCTGCTTCTGGTCTCTCGCATCCACAGATGAAGCTTGTACCTCGCTTGTTAGAGTTTTTCCCTAAGTTTACCCTTGGTGGCCCAGTTCCGCGTCTGGTTTGTGCCTGGCAGCCTCGTGTTGTGTTTGAAGAACGGACCTCCGACCAGTACCTCATATTTTGTTCCCGCGCCGGTAGATGTGGCATACGGTCGAGGATTTCGAACGGCGGAGCCTTCGCTACAAGTGTCGCTCAAATACGGTCCCCGAAGCGCACAGGTGTGGGCCGCATACCACAACGGCGCGCCAGTTTGAAACCGCTCTGATCGTTTTCCCATATTTCTCTAACCGGACCTTCGATGATCAGCGAGGCTCTGGCACTTTCGGCTGAATGCGCCGACGTCATCCCACTGGTCGAGCCTGCCTGGTCCACCACACGCCGTTCCAGCCCACGCATTTGTCGGCTTTCGCAAATCGGCGCCCGAAGTTTCCACAGGCTACGCTCTAAAGCAGGTACATCTGCTCCACCGCCAGGGAGCGCTATCTGTGGATCTGCCCCTGCGAGATTTGCCCGGGCCCTGCATGTCGTTGCCACAGGCAAGTTGAGCACATCAGGCCGCTCTGATTTCTTCGAATGTCCGGACGTACGAACTATCAGCGGAGACACTGACGCCGTTGAGCGTGCACAATGGTATGTGATTCGTGAGCACACCGATGATTCCTGATCGATTCTGTTGATCACCCATCGTCCAGCTACAAGTCTACAACATGGGGAGGCATTGTGAAACGAACTTGGTCCCATTGAACTTGTATGTCCGGCGAAATATCACAATCCCGATCAAAAGCGGTAAAACGGCGCATTTGGAACCGTATTTTACCGCGATGAGTGAGCGATCATGGTTTGATTCCCCGACATCAGCGCGCTTTGTGAGGAACCGCCGATTTGACGGGGAATATTACCACGGTTCGGATACGCGGAAGCGGGAAAGGCAGTTGAGTATGTCAGGTTTTGTGCGGGTGTACTAATCGAACACACAGTTATGAATCCATACACACACGGTTACGAATCCATGCATACGGCGAGCTCTAGCACATAAATGCTGGCCCAAGTTTTCGTTGCTGTATCCATCCAGTCTTGCCCACTTTCAACTCGAGTACTCTCTCACTCTCTGACGTCACTATCCATTTATCACTATGACGATCACCGAAGATTCTTCTGCACCCCTCGTTGCCGTTGTAGGCGCGACAGGTATCCAAGGTGGCAGTGTCATCAACGCGCTTGCTGAGTCCGACAAGCCGTACCGCGTCCGCGGCTTCACGCGCGACGCAGCGAAGCCCGCCGCCCAGAGCCTCAGCGCAAGGGGTGTTGAGGTTGTCGTTATTTCGCTCGTTGTTGAGAACAAGGCAGAAGTGTTCAAGGCCTTCGCTGGAGCGTATTTCGCCTTCGTGAGTCTTTACATTTCAGTTTCTCCATACTTTAACGAATCACCCCCACAGCTCGTCACGAACTTCTGGGAACATCTCAACAAAGAGCGTGTAAGTCGTTCTCTTTCTGTTCTATCTACGAGTCCGTTGTGAACGAGAATTTCAGGAAACCAACGAAGGCAAGCTCCTCGTCGACGCCGCCAAAGCAGCCGGTGTCTCGCGCGTCGTCTGGTCGGGCTTGCCGTTCACCAGCAAGGTCACCGGGGGCAAATACGTCAACGTCCACCACTTCGACAGCAAGGCCCTTGTCTCCGAATACGGGCGCACGGCGGGGGTCCCTTTCGTCGAGGTCCAGGCCGGGTTCTACGCCACCAACTTCTTCACCACGCCCAATTTCCTGATGAAGCAAGAGGATGGGTCGTTTGCCATGGTGTGGCCCATCAAGGCGGAGACGGTCATCCCCGTCATCGACGCGGTGGGAGACTATGGGCTCTTCGTCCGCGAGGTTCTGGAGCGGCCGGCGTTCCCTGACGGCGGTGAAATCCTCGCGTACAGCGAGAGAATCTCGCTTGGGGATATGGCGAAGCAGCTCGCCAAAGGTACGCCGCTTAATTCGACTCAAGTTCCGATTTTCTGAGTGAAGACGCACAGTGACCGGGAAGAACATCTTCTTCCATCAGATTCCGGTGGAGCAGTTCAAGCAGGGCATCCAGGCGCTGGGACTTCCCCCGCACATCGCCCTGGACATGGCAGAGTCCCTCCAATCTTGGGAGGAGTTTGGCTGTGCGTTCTCATCCATTTTCCTCACTGAAGATATGCTCCACTGACTTGCGTCAACTTGCAGGGGGTCTGGATGCGCCTCCTCACAAAGGTCTCGCCAGAGCTACTCCTACCTGGGCCGAGTTCGCCCAGGCACAAGATTGGAGCAAACTTTTGGCGTAACTTATCTGGCATACACTAGCTAGAGGACGGGCACAAAGATTGCCGTTTGAACTTCCCGTACTGATCTGTCGAATTTTATTTGAAAAATGTTGCTGTTGACCGCGGCCGATGTCAAGCTATCTCGTGAACTTCCAGATCTCTGCAGCTGCATCATCTTTCATCGAGTTGACTTTTCGGAAGGCTGCAATACTATAGGAATATATGCTCTTACCCAGATTTTATCGTACAAGACTACACGCATCATACCTCTTGACTCTTGGGGTAAGACAAGACACGCAACAAAGGTTAACGTTGTGTAACAGTCTGCCTCCCGCTTAACTTTGGCCAGCAAGCACGCCCCGGAAACTACCTTGCACTGAATGTGGGATAACTTTATTTGCAGTCAGTCTAGTATTCTGCGTGTCCTTCAGCAGGTATTTCTTAATAAGAAAAAATTCGGCAAGGGGTTCATGACCCGGGCCTGAGTCGAACAGGCAACCTCCACTGCTACTTTGGCTTCTTTTTGCATTACTTGATGTGGATGCGGACCGTCCGCCACCGTGGTCGATATCCCCCTTGACCTTACTTGCAACGGATTAAGGTTGAATAAACAAGGGCCAGATCGGAG